AGTTAGATTGCTGGGGATGAGAAGAAAATAGGAGGTCAAATAGAAACCACATGTTTGTACAATATTCTGTTAAGAAGTTTGCATAGTAAAGAGGAAGGGTAGTTTGATATAGAGATAAGGTCAAGGGAAAATTTTAGGGATGAGAATATTTGAGCTCTTTACTTACCTATGTATTCATCCATCCTCTCAAATATTTCAAAGCAACCAAATCTACTTTTGGTAATACTTTTTCATTTTAATTATGTTAATATGCAGTTGGTTTAAAAGCATATACATTTAATATGTGTAATTGGCAAATTATAATAAAAATTTTTATGCTGTCAGATTCTTTACCTAGTCCTAGTTTGTAATGGTAATTCTCTTTAGTCAGTTGTCTTTTAAGAAAATTATGAAAGGAAAAAGGCATAATCCTTTATACTTATCTATTTATTTACTATTACTGATGCTCATCTTTACAAACCTATAGATGCAGTTGTCCATCTGATACCTTTTCCCCTCAGCCTAAAAAATGTGACTTGTGAGGTAGATTGGCTCCTAGCAAATTCTCTCAGTTTTTGTTTACCTGAAAATGTTTACCTCATGCTCATTTTTTGATATATTGATGAGTTCTGGGTTAAGAGAGTGTTTTTTTTTTCTTTTGATACTTTATGCCATTTCCTTCTCGTCTCCATTATTTCTGATGAGTAGTCAGGAAAATTTATACCACTGCTTTTCTGTGTGTTTTTTTTCTTCTTTTTCTTTTCTTTTCCTTTCTGTTGGGTGCACTTTCACAACTCTGTTTATCCTTTCGGGTTTTTGACTCTGATGCACCTAGTTATGGTTTTCTCACCAGCTGTTCTGCTTGAGACTTGCTGATTTTCTTTGATATGTAAGTCAGTGACTCTCACCAAATTTGGGGGAGATTTGACCATTACTCATTCAAATGTGTTACTGCCTCATTCTAATTGTTTTCTTTATGGGACTCCCTATGATATGTGTATATGCCCAATTATATGATAGTGTACTATAAACTCTTGAGGTTTTGTTTATATTTTATCAATCTTTTACTCTGTTCTTGAGATTGGATAATTTCTGTTGTTTTCAAATTCACTGACTTGTTTTTTTCCTGTCAAACTCATCCAGTGCTTTTTTTTCTTTTACTTTAGTAATTGTACTTTTCAGCTCTAAACTCTCTATACAGTTCTTTTGTATACTTTCTACAGTATACAAAAAGTATACTTTTGTATACTTTCTTCTGCTCAGGTTCCCCTATATGTCCATTCATTAAGTCTATACAAAGCTGCCTTGAAGTCCTTGCTAAATTAAACGTCTGTGTAATCTTAGAATCAGTTTCTGTTGGCTGCTTATTCTCTTACTATAGACCCTTTTTCCCCATTTTTAATCTAATAACTTTTATTATGTAATTGGATAGTTACTGATAAATTATTGAAACTTGGGATTTTAAAATCTTTTTGACATGTAATTTTTGTTATGATAGGTCAATTATTGGCTGATAACCTTGAATTTGGATAACTTGGCTTTACACTTTTTTAGAGCAAATAGTCAAGGTAGTTCCCAACCTCAGTTAATTTATTGGAACTCATTCTCAAAAATCTCCCTACAGTTCTCAACAGGGCTTCATAGTAGGCATTGTTTAAGATTAAGGCATTAATCTATACCTTAATTTTGGGCAAAAACTTACATTGGTGTCTCAGCTAGATGTTTGAGGTGCTAAGGAGGTGATTAAAAGCTTTCTTCACTTTAGCTGCACCTCCATATTCCTCTGAACAAATTAATTTTTAACATCTCTGTTCAGTTTTTATTCCCATAGTAACTGACCTCTGGTACGCTACTTCTAAGTCTACCCAATCCCTGGACAAAAACTCATAGGGACCCTCCACATAGACTTCTGGGACTCTAAGATACATAACTTTATCCTTTTTAGAGCCCATCCCATAGAATCCCTTCAATGCAGCCATTCCATTGTCTTGATTCTGCTTCAGATTCTACTCAGCTCTGTCATTTCTGCTTGGAATTGAGCTTGCTGAATCACAGTATGGAAAGTGTCCCAAAGCAATGAGCTGGGGAATTGTAATCCTAGTGTATATTGTAATTGTAATTGTAATTGTAATCATAGTGTATATAAAGTGTTCATTTTTTTAATGTTATGCCATAGAACTTTTCATACTGGCACATTTTTAAATGAGTGAAATTTTAGCATTATGAAAGCAAAGATTAAGAATCATTGTGTGTCGGAGATTATTCTAGATAGTAGGTATATTAGTTAATTTTTTTCTGACTATACCAACAGACCTGATGCTTGTAAAAGAAACGGGCTATTTAACTTATACTTTTGGAGGTGGTAAGTCCAGACAGCATGGCACAAGCTCCCTCTGGGCTTTTATCATTGTGGCAGACAACATAATGGTGAGACATGTAGAAGAAGGAGAGATCACATGACAAAATACGAAGAAAGGGATTTGGATGTTTAATGTTTATTAGCAGCTCTTTCACAAGAAGTAACTCAGGGGTCCAGCGAGAAGTACCTTAACGCCTTCTCAAAGGCATGCTGTCAGTGACCTAACAGCCTTCCACTAGGCCCATCTCTGTTTTTGTTTATTAGTACACGTTTGCTGTACATATTGATTACATTCATCATGGAGGTTTGGTACATGTACATAACACATCTTAATTTTTTTAAATTCCTCTTGTTCTTTCTTTCCTCCTCTCCCATCCGCCGCCCCAGCCCCATCTCTAGTTTGCCTTTCCAACTGTAGGAAATCTGTCTTCCTATTTTGTATTATCATTTATTTTTCTTTTACAATTACTAATACTTCAGGTTTTTCATATAAGAAAAACCATGCCATATTTGTGCTTGTGTGTCTGATTTGTTTCACTTAACATTATGTTACTTGTAAGAAAATGGATGGAACTGGAGAGCATTGTGTTAAGTGAAATAAGCTAGACTCAGAAACACAGTATCATGATTTTCCTAATATGTGGAATCTAAAAACAGATTAAGTGAAAGTAGAAAGGAGACATTAGACAAACAGAAGACAATCAGCGGGTGGGGAAGAGGGATACAAAGAAGGATAATGAAGAGAATGGGTATGATAAAAATGTTATGTGTATATGAAAATACCATATTGAAACCCAATATTTTATAAAATTAATATGCACTAACAATATATTTTAAAAGAGTAGCTACAAAAAATGTCTCTCTAGCTAGGTATGGTAGTACCTGCCTATAATCGCAGCACTGAGGAGGCTGAGACAGGAGGATGGTGAGCTCAAGGCCACCCTGGACTACATAGTGAGACCCTTTCTTAAGAAACCAAAAACAAAAATGTGTCTCATACAGCCATGCTGTGTTGTTGGACTATACCAGGCAGGTAGGAACAGGAGAGAAAAAGTCAGAAGTCAGCCAACAGGAGCTGAGGAGTGTAAGAGCACCTCTTTCTTTGGGAGCTCATATAGTTATGAATAACAGTAACAACTGCCAGCCATTTATTGAGCACCTGGTGTGTGCTGCATAAAGGGTTTCTAAACTGCCCTCCATTTGCTGGTCACAGCAACCCTGTGAGAGATATCTGTCATTAGCTGCATGTGAAGAGATGAAGAAACTGCAATTGAGTGGCTATCCCAAAGTCAGAAGTCAATAACTCAAGAGTCGAGAGGCTGGGGATTTAGCTCAGCAGCAAAGCGCCTGCCTAGCAAGTGCAAGGTCGTGAGTTCGATTCCTGGTACCGGAAGAAAAACAAAACAAATAAGAAAAAAAAAAAAAAAGAGTCGGGACTTCTTCCCAGATCTGGCTTCCAGAAAGTAACATAGCCATCAAGTATATTTACCATGAAGCTAGTGAAGCTTCAATTCAGGGCCTCTTACTTGCTAGACCCAGAAATTAAGAGAGTTCCAGGTAGAGAGGGGAAGTAGAATTATAGCTAGAAAGCATTTTTAAGCAAGCATTTTCTGAGACCTTGCCTAAAGAAGTCTCGGAAGCAAAATGCTGGCAATTTCTTGTAGTTTATTTTCTAACTGTAAATAAGTACTCAGTCTTATAAATAATAACAATATGTGTCTGAAAGATGAGAAGTTCAACCATCAGAGAAGGCTGTAAAAGAAAGAAAATAGTATACTTAAAAACAATTCCATGTAGTTTCAGATTGCTGAATCATGACATGGGAAGAGAAGGGTCACAGGAATTTGAACTAGTCAAAGATTATGTCTTGAGACATTCTAATTAACAGTGCACATGTAACTATATGATATTCTAAGGAATGTGAACTTCATCCTATTAAAGTCCTTACCAGCAGAAGTAAATAAGAATTGGTAGATTTGAGAAAGGGTAAAATATCTTTATTTCTTAAAGCTCCAGAAGTGACATCTGTACAGCTAGGAATGCTATAAGCAGTGAAAAGCTATAGAAAGGTTTAAAACAAGGAGGTGACATTTTAAAAGCTAATTTTAGGGGCCAGGGATTTAGCTCAGTGGCATGGTGCCTGCTTGGCAAGCATGAGGTTGCAAGTTCAATTCCTGCTACCCCCACCTCAGAAAAACAAAGTAATTCTAACTTAAATGGGTCGGGGGAGAGGATTGTGGTAGTCCAGCCAAGAGATGATATTTTTAATGACCACGTAATATTTCATCACATTAATTTTGCAATATGTATATTTCTAGTATATATGTATACATGACTTCAATTTTACTCAAAAAGTAACATATTTCAACTTCTTTACTGTTGTTATTTTTAATTATTTCACTAGGACAAAACCCCCAGAAGTAATTATGTTAGGTCAAAGACAATGAATAGTTTTGGCTCCTGCCTGTGAATTATCATATTGGTTATAACAAATTTATAATTTTAACTTCTTTGTGGTAGGCCAAACATAACCTTTGCAATCATTTTGTTAGGTTCAATTAAAAAAAAGCATTTATGCTTTTGATTAATTTTGTTAGCAGAAACCAAAACAATGTTTGTATGTTTACAGTAGCAGTTTAATAATTACATTTATCTTTAATAGATTGATGAACTCCCAGAGGGAGCTGTGAAGCCTCCAGCAAACAAATATCCCATCTTCTTTTTTGGCACCCATGAAACGTAAGTCAACAAAATAATGTAAAGCTGCAAGAGCTCTAATTTGACTTCACCAGACTCCATTGTTTATAGATTATTTATAATATTTTATATGTTGTTAAAGTCGTTATAATCAGTTACATAAATTCTAAGTTTAAAATGTGTTTTTCCTAATGCAGAGACTTTTCATTCAGAGAAGTCTTTATGACTGATAGCACATCTTTGCTTTTGGATGTAATTCCTGATTCTATTTAATGCTGCACATCATATGGAGGTCTTTTTTAGGACACTTTTAAGTCCTAGAGTGGTTTCATTACTACTCCCAGTTATATCTCTTGTAGCTTATATGTATTTCCCCTCTAGAGAAATTTCTTCCATCATCTTTCAGAGAACAAAGTTATGAGGCTTATTCAACTTGCTGGGCCCTTAATAAACACATCTTTTAAAGGTCTTCTAACTGTATTAACATACAGGCTCAAATAGTATAGACATTTATTCCCTTTTTTAGAAACAATCCAGGGGAGGAAGATCAGGATGGATAAACTACTTGCTCTGGAGTACTGGGTTCCTCCTGTTTTGGCCTATCACTCACTGCCCTTATCTGCTTAATTAAAAAAAAACCTCTCACAGTGGTACATGTGCATCTTGTAGCAAGAGGGAAAGAGAAAAGAAAAGTAAAAGCAAGTAATTTCTTGTAAGGAAATGACAGGAAGTTGTATATGTGACTTACACTTGTGTTCATTCCATTGGCAAAAGCTTAGTCATGTGACCACATCTAGCTACAAGAGAAGCTGCAAATGTCTATAGCTGAGCAGTGCTAAAAAACTTGGGAGAAATAGTCCACTGAGAGAGAGAGAGGTGAGGGGGAAGCGGGGGAGGGAGGGAGGGAGGGAAGGAAGGAAGAAAGGAAACACTGGGGGACAGTTGGCAATCTTTAATATTTAAGAATGTATTATGGTTATTTATAAAAAGGAAACATAGTAAGCTATAAACTGTCAAAAAGTTAGGGGAAAGCTATAAACTACCAAAAAGCTAGTAAGTTTAAATTCAGAGTCATCCTCTCTTTTCTTTTGTGTGTTAGTAGAACCTGGCATGACCTTTCTTAGTTTGTCTCTGCCACTGACACCTTCCTCAGTTTTGTTTTGAAAAAGCCAGGAGAGGGTTTCCAAGACAATTTTCCTTCTTCATGTGAGAAATACTTATTTCTTTCAGGAAGTTAGTTTTTTGGTTATCATTTGTCTTGACATTTTGCAGGGCTTCATGTTGTTTTGTTTTGGTCCTGAGGATCGATCCTAGGACCTCCAGTATATTAGGGAAGGATGTTTCTACTAACCTCCATTCCCAGCCCTATTTTTATCTAATGTGCACTGTGGTATATGCAACTCCTGATGTTTTCCCTCTTAGAGAGATTACTGGAAGGCTTTTAGAAGTCAGTGTTTTACTTATAATAAATATAATTTTGTGATTATATATTATTATGTTTGCCTCAATCCTGTCCCCATTTTATGTATATACTCATGTTAGGATTTTTCATTAGGATAGCCTTTCTCCAAGTGATCTGTTTATATTTCTAGTACAAGGCAAGATGTAATAAAACCATGACATTTCCACTGTATGCACCAAAATTAACCATTTACTAACACTGTGTATTTACTTTTGGTCCGTTAGTAGCCCTATTTTCTAGGCATTCTGTAAGGTACTGGAAAATTTTAAATGCACTTAAAGAGCTAGCTTCCTGGCAGATATGACTGATGAATGCAACAGAATCATCCCAGTGAACAGTGTGAAGGGTTTTATAGAGCTGTCTCTTATAGCATCCTTAATATAAATCCATGGCATTGTGCTAAGACTGAATTCAGTAAAAGCCGTTCTATCAAGGATCTGTGTGATACAGTGGCTTTTTTCTTCTGTATCATCCATAGACAGATTTTAAAATATCTGGAAGAGAATGGACTTCCAAAACACTGCAATAACCTTGTTTTCTGCTGAATTATTCTGAGTGCTGGGTATCCTGAACCCAGGATGATACTGATCCCTTCTGTGAGGTAGGGATTGTGTCAGTGTTCTTACCCTACATACATAGTGCTTAGCCCAGCATGTGGCCCACATCAGCATTCTACAAAGTAGCTGTTGAGTGAATTAAAATTAATTAAATAAACCAAGAGAAGGATATTACGTGAAAGGTGAGGAACTTAACAGAAATGAAGAGAAGGATATTATGTGAAAGGTGAGGAACTTAACAAATGTGTTCAGGTCAGCTGAGAGTATACCCCAGGGAGGACCACAGTTTTCCTCAGAATATAACATTGAATCTGTTAAATCATTGGCAGATAAGTGATTGGAAATTCAAGTTCTTCTCCTCTATACAACATTACTCCAGTAAGTTTAGTCTGGACAATTTTCAAGGAAGCCCTTGCTAGAAATAATATAATCCTGAAAGCATATAGATTTGAAGGGTTTTATTTTTTGCCCTAACCTTTAACATTTGGAAAACATACAGCAAAGTTAACCAATTGAGAGAGAATTTGGTTTATGACATTATCAATAACCCAGGGAAAAAGCAGGATTGTTTACCAAAAATACAAACTTTTCTTAGAATAGTTTATTCATGGTCTGTCTTTCTGGCAACAGCTAACACAGCCGATCATTAAAGTCATTCCTGGTGAATGATAACAAATTTGTATCATTTATTCAGAAGAGAATGCTTCCTAGTCTCTATAGCAGTACAAGATGTATCTCATACATCTAAAGGTAATATTAAAAACAAGATAAGCCAGTCAAGGTGACACATGCCTATAATCCCAGCACTCAGGGAGGATGAAGCAGGAGAATCACAAATTTAAGCCCAGACTGGGCAACTTGGTAAATTGCAAGATTTTTGTCTCAAAATTAAAAGGTTGGGTATATAGCTCAGTAGGAAGTCCCTGGATTCAATCCCTAGCTTAAAAAAAAAGGAAGGCCAGAATTATTAAATTAGACCTATTCACCCTGACTTTTTGTCATTATTAAGGTCCAGGCAAGCTCTGGCTAGCACAAGTAGCCAGCAGCACCATTAGGTAGCATAGCCCATAGTTACTTCCTGTATGCAGAGTCAAGGATATAGAAGGTACAGAGCAAGAGTGGAGCCTCTTCTGTTTCTCAGAGACACTAGTTATCTCCCGCCTCAGAGCCTTTGTACACACTCTTCCTGCAGCCATCTTTGCCCTCTGTAATTTTCTGTCCTTAGACAGTTCCTTGTAGATGAGCCCTTCCCTGAGCTTCATATCCAATCTGGTAAACCACCCCCCATTCTTCCCACCTTCTTCTCTTCTTTTTCTTTTTTTAGTAGTCATAGTATATGTTTCATTTATTAATCATTTTATTATCTTACCACTAGAGCACATGCTTCATGAGGGCAGAAATGTTTGTCTCTTGTTCTCTGTAGAATCCCCAGCACCTCTGAAATAGTGCCCAGCACATTATAGATGTTCAATCATTTTTTTGTTGAATGAATAGATAAATCTTAGTTTGAAATATAAGTTTCAGGGTGTCAGCTAAAATTTCGGCTTCCATAGTGTCATTTACCAGGTTAAGGTCAAGATAAAAATGCTAAAGATTCTGTTTCAAATATATGTATGTCTATTAGCCAACCACAGAATTTATTCTAACTCATATTTAGTGGTTATAATTAATTTAAAACAAGTTTTAAATTGGATAAGATTATGTTTACTTTACCACTTCTGATTTTTTATTGCCTAGTGCTTTTTAAAACACTGATAAACCAGACATGATGGTACACACCTGTAATCCCAGCACTGAGGAGGCTGAGGCAGGAGGATCACCATGAGTTTGAGGCCAGCCTGGGCTACATAGTGAGTTCAAGGCCAGCCTGTACTACAAAGCAAGACCCTGTCTAAAACGAAAAAGAATGAATGAATGAATGAATGAATATAAAATCAAAGTAGGACAATCCATATTTGCTGGCATGTGCCTAACTCAGAAGGCTTTTTATACTTTCAGTTTCCTTACTATACTGTACTCCACTACCTCAGTTGATATTTAGAATTAAGGTGTCTTCTGCCTGAAGATTAGCGTGTCAACTCTAACATCTCTCTGCAGTGCATTTCTAGGTCCCAAAGATCTTTTTCCATATAAGGAATACAAAGACAAGTTTGGAAAGTCAAACAAACGGAAAGGATTTAATGAAGGATTGTGGGAAATAGAAAATAACCCAGGAGTAAAGTTTACTGGTTACCAGGTAATGGTTTACTTCCTTGGCACTTGCTACATCTCATTTCCTTGGTTTTACCTCTTTTTCATATTTTTTCCTTTATACTAATAGTTACCTTTCATCCTTTTGAAATCAGCCTTATTTTTGGCTGTAGTAGTGTTTTGGGTTAAATGCAGCTCTATTACCCAGGAGGGTTCAAGTTAAGCAGCCACTAAATGGTTGAGTTTGACAGCCCCTGACTGACTGACTGAGTGAGAGTCTCACTGTTGCACTCCTGGGCTGAAGCCGTGTTCTGCATAGGTGGGATTACAGTTGTCTGTCACCTGGCCCAGCTCTCAGTCCTTTACTTTGAAAAACTTCAGAATAAATGGAACTCTTTCAAATTAAAATAGAGTGATTATTTTCACAGCCTATGTTCCTTGCTATTTTTTCAAAAATGTAATTAGCTGATTTTTTTTCTTTAGGCAATTCAGCAACAGAGCTCTTCAGAAACTGAGGGAGAAGGTGGAAATACTGCAGATGCAAGCAGTGAGGAAGAAGGTGACAGAGTAGAAGAAGATGGAAAAGGCAAAAGAAAGAATGAAAAAGGAGGCTCAAAACGGAAAAAGTCATATACTTCAAAGGTTACTTGAGAAACTCCCTGTAGTTACTAATGTTACATGCATATTCATTGAAAGTTTTTTGGCTATTTTCTTTTTTTTTTTTACTGGACACATAGAAATATATAGTAGATTCTGTGGAGCCCCTGCCTTTAGGGACAATAATAATGCAAAGGGCACCAGACAAGTAAACTTAGATGTTAAATCAGTCTGGCTGTCAACTCTTAAGGGCTGAGTTGGTCCTAAAAATACCACCTTCTTAGTCGGAGAAGGACTGTTCTTTATGTAAGGATAGAATATATAAGTATCTGTGCCCCCTACGCTAATCTCCAGATGAGCTCTGAAGAATTTAGGAAAATAGGAGACAGTATGATGCAAGACTGTGTACCATATGTGTAAGTAACAGATTCTTGTCTCCCTGCTTCAGAAAATGTACTTTGGCTTTTTGTTTTCTCAGTTATTACATTTCCTAATCACTTAGTCTACACCAGATTCTGAGCTGCAGTAGTAAGCAAAGCCATCTCTGTCCCTCCCCTCTTGTAATTTACAGTATAATGAGAGAGGGGGCTCACAGTATACAAAGAACTAATAAGTAACTATGAATTGTGAAAGGGCTGTGAAGTTAATGAATGGGAGAGTGGAGCACTTACTTCAGAAGTGTAGCCAGGCCTTTCTGCAAAGGTCAGGCTTATACTGAGACCTAAGAGAAGGGTATGGAAGGAGCTTCCATTGGAAGTTTGTATGGCAAAGAGAAAGAAACAGAGCTACAAACTGTGGAAGAGAAGAGTTTGGCATGTTTCTGCGTTGAAAGAAGGCAGGTATTACTGGAGAACCATGATTACAGGGGAGAGGCAGACAGAAGCCAAGCCATGCAGACCTGTAGGCCGTACTATGAAGTGTTTGGATTTTATCCCAATGTCACAGTAAAGTTTTAAACAACAGTGACATGATACTAGATTTATAAATTGAAAGTCTAGGCTTCAATTCAGAAATGCAATTGAGAAGACTGAGATCATGAAAATTGTTCACTTCTTAGAAACTGAAGCAAGATAAATGAATCTTTGAAAGCCAAAGATTAGTTGGTTCATTTTTGTGTGCTCTGTCACACAACTGAATACTTGGAGAAGTTACTTCTACTTAGATTCTTATATTTAGCTGCTGGATATACTTAGGAAACTTCTTGAAAACAAGTAATCAGACTTTTAAATTTTTATTTTGGCAGTGTGTAAAATCTAACCTGCTGGCATGCAGATAAAATTGTGTGAGTGCAGCATTTTTCCTATGTACCCAGTGAAAAGCATGGGATTGCCTTAGATAGGCATAAAGTTTGCAAATGACAACAGAATAATTAGAATTTTCTCCCCTGGATGGTATCTTCTTTTGCCATTATTTTTAAGCTGCATTTCTTTTCCCGTTTTGGGCTTCACTTAAACACTTACTTGAGTTGATTTATTTATGATTGCCTGCTCAGCCCCATGTGACGTGTTATCTAAGCTACCTAGACTTTTGACTTGTGGTTACATGATTGTTAAATGTCATTATTGAAGTGAAGAGGTAACCACATACTTCACTTACTAAGGTTTGTCTACTTTAAAGGATCATTTCCTTTGTTTTCCTTCTAGTTCATAACCTCCGTGATCTCTTGAGAACCATGACTTCATTTTTTCAGGGCTGGGGATTGAACTCAGGTCCTCATGCATGTTAAGCAAGTACCCAGAACCATGACTTCCTGTTCTCAATTCTCTCCATAATTTTGGTCATAAACCAAACTTGATAAGAATCAAATCAAATTTCCCCATGAAGTCAACATTAAATTGTGGAAAGAATTCAGTTTGTGAACTGAGGTACCACTGTCAGTTTTTGGATAATATAGAATGAATATAAACTCCATTCCTATATGAAGGTCTCCTTGTAGCTTTTAGGGAAGCCCTTTTGATTTCTTCCCTCCAGAGGTAGAGCCAAGTTAGATCATTTTCCTTTTAATCTGTCTTAATGGGATGGTTTTTTGTTGTTGTTCATTTTTTCTAATTTATTTTTCACTAAAGAGTACTCTGGCTTTATATAGAGATCTCCATTCTATCCCCAGTCATGTGCAGGTCCTTGCACTTGTCTGCCTGTTTTCTGGGCACAAACCATGAAGCCAAAGGGTCTGAGAATCAAGGTTTCAGGTGAGGCTGATGCTGCTGATGTGGGAACCACACTCTGAGGATCATTTACCTAACATAACTCCTTTTTATTGAGTATGCTGATTTTTTTTTTTACATTTCTCTCTTAACATAAAGGTCTTCCTTTGCATTGAAAACTACTAGTTTACAAACTTTAAAAAACTTCTCAGGTGGAGAAGAAAGGTCCCAAATCCTCTGCCTCACTTAAATTTTATTTTTCTATTAACAGGTTCATTATGGAGCCATAATTCAAATGTCTCACTGTATGGAAGCTCTGAGCCACCAGTAGTGCATGCGTGTCTGTCCCATCATGCAGTGTGAGACATTCCCATTGGGTGGTACAAGCCACCTGATGGGGCCGTCATACATGTACCACCAGTGGTTCAAGTCAGTAAGAACATGTTTTTTAAAAAAAAGCTCAGTAATCACAATGAAAAGTCATAATATGGCAGATTTGAGGGTAATTATATATCTCTTTAGCAGTAAAAGTATGAGTGATTCAGATTTGAAATACATCAGATACTAGAAAATTACCATTCAAAATATTTTGCATACAAATTATTTATATATATAGTAAGGTAGATCAGTCTCAAAACAAACTAAACATTATGCTAAAACACCAATTGTTTAAAAACAAATATAGGGGCTGGGGATTTAGCTCAGTGGCAAAGCGCCTGCCTGGCAAGCGCAAGGTCATGAGTTCGGTTCCTGGTACCGGAGAAAAACCAACAACAA